TTAATATAAACAAAACTAAAATTCCATCAGAATCTCCCTTCATTCATAAAATCCTCCAGCACGTGCATGTTTGTTTATAAAGGATTTGAATGAATTTACCAATACTTTCTAGTCCTCTTTGCTCCGTTTAACCAGGTTTTTAATTTGACCATCCACAGAATATTCCATCGGTTTCTCAGCAGTTCACGTCCTCTTTTAAATCTAAAACCTTTATTAAATATGTGCGGTCAGAACCGTCCTGATGAGACGCGAGCTCCTCCTTCCGTCTTTCTGCCACATTTTCTGATATTTGCATCCAGCCACCGGGAGACAAAGGCATCCCAGCGCCGCTCCGTCACCGGATTAACCGGAATTACAGAGAGAGAGAGACGCGCGGATCTCCGATTGTGTCCTTAAAACAAAAACAGAGCGAGAGAGTTGGAAGCAAACTTGTGCCAAATCACAATTCCTGCTGGATGTGTGTATTATCGAGGGAATTAGGGAGCCCACAATTAAGCATATGGGCATTAAGATAATTGTCAGTTGTGTTGGCGAACGTGATGGCAGACAGATGGATCAGACTCAGCCCGCTCTCCACTCGGCACCATGGGACATTACTTTGGATTTTACCTGCCTGAATAAATTCACAGTGTTTTCACCAACAGAGGAAGAAGAAAGATTAGAGAATGGAGAGAGAGAGAGAGAGAGAGAGAGTTTGGCTGTGTTCACATACTACATACTACTCACTATTTCTGTAGCGTGTGTAGTTTGTGAATTTTGGTCAAATGTGCCATATACAGAACAAGAAACATGCTGTTCAAAACACTCTATCCCACAATGCAACTTGATCCTTCATACAGTGTGATGAATGAACCACTTTATAATATCTAATAATCTTTAAAAAAAAATGTTTTTAATAGTTTTTGTCTCTTTACTCACTCATTTAAAAAAAAATTTTAGCTTAAAAAATAAAATACTATTTTTATTTATAAATAATGATTTAATGTTATATTATATTTATTTTTATAGTCTCTTTCTTGACTTACATTTTTATTGTTATTTTGTATTTTTTATTTAAGAATAATTAGTTTTATTTATAAAAGAATATTTTTTTATTATTTTGTTTTAATTTTTTTATTTTTGTCTCTTACTTGGCTAATTGAATTTTTTTATAAATTCTTCTTTTTATTATTTTTTCATGAATCATTTAAAAAAATGTTTTAATTCATAAGTAATTTGAATGTCTTATTATTTTATTTTTTATATTTTTTTTCATTATTTTAAAAAGAAAATATATTTTTTTTAATTTATAAATAATAGTTTTAATGTTTTATTGTTCTCTTTCTTGGCTTTTTGCCAATGTATTATTATTATATTTTTTTGTATTTAATCCATCTGCCGCCATTTCAGAGCATCACAACACAGATGCACATACAGCATATTCCCACGCTTAAGGAGAACATGCAAATATCAGGGGCTTGTTATTTATAGGCCACAAATATAACTGTTTTCAACATTGATAATGTTATATAAATAAGCAGCAAATCAGCATATTAGAATGATTTCTGAAGATCATGTGACACTGAAGACTGGAGTAATGATGCTGAAAATCACAGGAATAAATTACATTTTAATTTTAACAGATATTCACATAGAAAACAGATGTTTTACATTGCAATAATATTTCACAATTTTACTGTATTTTTTGTCAAATAAATGCAGATGAGCAGAAGAGATTTCATTCAAAAACATTAAAAAAAAATTAATTATTAAATCATTAATAGTCTTGTAGTTAATTAACTTATTTAATATATTTTTACAGTTATATTTCCCCTATTATTAATAATATTGAACCAAAATATAAATAAATAAATCATACATATTATATATTTATTTATTACAATTTGTGTTTTTTCTGTAAAATATATAATTATTTTTAATATTGAAAATATTGAATATTTTTGATGTTATACTCACACTATACTCTAAAATATTGAATCAGGTTGAATTGTATTTAAATGTAATATATTTTCAATATTAATAATTCAAAGACACAAACTGCAAATGTGTATATGTATAAATATATATATA